TCTGGTTGAACAAATGGGCGAGAGATGGAGCGAAGAACAACTCTGGGTTTTGGGAGGTCGACTTGACAAGCTCGTGGACGTGTGGGGCGCAGGTGACGATGGCCTAGAGGGTTTGATGGAACGAGTGGCCGTGTTCCGTGGTGCCACAGGCTTCGTGGACCCGGATCTCCCTCGACAGGCTTCTGCATCAACAGAGGACGAAGAGCTTCCCAAATGGAAGTTTGCCAAACTCTACGACAAGTACCTTGAGTATGTCGATGTCCTCGTGGGCCAAGGGAAGGAGGATGACGCTCGTATCTTCCTCGAGTTTGTTCCTGCGGCATACGAGGGGAGCAAAGCAATCAGAGAGCGGCTTGGTGTCCGCAGTGTTCCAGCCAATGTTGCTGCGTCCACGGCTAGCGCCAGAACGACTGTCAAATCAGGATACGCCCCTTCCACCACCACCACTGCGCCTGCGTATGGTAACGCAGGTGCGAGTCTGTCATCCCTCGCTTCCCAGCCAGCACCTCCTGCGACATTTGGGGGCTACCCTAACCCGTATCAAAATGGACATGCTGCGGCTGGCTTCGCTGCACCAACTGCACCAACCACTGGTCCTTACGCACCTGCTGCTCCACCAACTGGTCCGTACGCGCCGCCGCCACATGCAGTCTCCACCTCGATGCCTCCTCCTGGGCCATACAACGCATCTAGCAGTGTAGCGCCTCCAGCGATGCGTACTGCCCCGCCTCCCCCTCCAAAGCGCGACAATCAAGGCTGGAACGACGCGCCCGTTCTAAAGAATACACCCGCACCCCCAAGGAAATCGGGAACTCCTGCCCCCATCACTAGTCCGTTTGCAAATCAAAGCCCGTACGATCGCCCATCCAGTCGCGGTCTAATGGGATCCCCGCCTCCCCCACCCATGCGTGGAGTAACGTCGCCCCCGCCCCCGCCTCCACAAGGTGGACCATCTCGCCCGGGTTCGACAATCCAGCCGCCTATGGGAGGACGACTGACGCCAACTCAGCGTCCCCCTGGCCCTTATGCCCCACCACCAGGTAGAGTTCTATTGCACAATTGCGTACAATAACTGACGCGATTTACAGTGTCCTCCAGGCCGCCGTCGGGCCCCAGCTTTTCTGGTATGCCCCCTCCTCAGCAGGGCGCATTCACTGCCGGGGGTCACTTTGCCGCGCCAGTCCCGCCCCCCGGGCAAGGCTTTGCTCCTCCACCTGGCGGTGGACGTGGCTTCAGCGTTCCTACCGCTGGCCCACAGTTCATTGACTCTGGGCTACCAGCTGGCGGTCCACCCAACCCGTATGGACCACCACCTCCCGGGCAGTCTGGATTCGCACCTCCCAGTCAGGCTGGCTTCGCTCCGCCTGGTCAGCCTGGGTTTTCTCCCACTGCGCAGCCAGGACCGTACGGTCCGCCTACAGTTCAGTCAGGCTTTGGTGGACCTCCTCCGCCGCCGTCAGCTGCAGGCATAGTACCGCCTCCGCCAGGAGGCCCATCAGGCGGCGCACGAGTTGCACCCCCTCCGAAGGCCAAGGAAGAAAAAAAGCCTGAGCCGCCCAAGTATCGTGAGTAGTGCTCTGGTCTTCCTTTTGGTACAAAGCTCAGCGTCTTGTAGCATCGGGTGACCGGTCACATATCCCAGACAGACTGAGGACTGCCTTTGAAGTCTTCGAGTCCGAATTGAGACGTACGGGTGGCGCGCAGCAGCGGGACTTGGAAAAACGGTTGACGCCTCTGTTCGACGCGATGAACTGCGAGACACTGAAGTCTAGCACTGAGGATGGGTTACGGGTCATGAGCCAAGGTGCGTTGTTTTCTCATCAGGCAAGATAATTAGGCTGACATGTCTGCTCTAGCTATGGCAGCGCACGACCGGCCTGCGGCACTTGCATTGCATGTTGAGATGCTCACTCGCGGAGACGGGGACGTCTCATGGATGACGGCGTTGAAGCAGCTCATTGTTCGCCTGTAGATAGAGACTGTTGTGATGTTTTGAGAGACTGGATTGGAATGGAATGAATTCTGCATGGACGTCACGAAACGTATATACACGATGTGATATCGAATTGTTTGCCTTTTGTCAAGGTCAACTACGAAGTTGAAAGTAGTGCTGGTGGCTAGAAAGAAATGTCTGCGTGATGCATGCCCCAGGGAGCTTGAGTATCGTTGGCGGTCGATGGGACGTGAACGTAACAGCTCCGGTCCGTAAGCCACTCTTTGTTTCTGCGCGGTGTCAATACCTGGGGATGATGTGATCGGTCCCTGTAGACACGTTGACCGTTGGCGGCCACCATCTCTTGACAGAAGCAAGCTCAATCGCACAGAAGACAGAGCTGGACGCTCGAAGATACGCCGTGGTGCAACCATGCCCATCAATCCCCTTCTGCGGCGGGGCACGCGCGCTCTGACCTCTTCACTCACAACCCATCGGCTGTTCGTATACTTTGCCCTCTCTACACTGGCCGTCGCGGTTGCAGTGCTCAACTCGATGCGGTCATTCAGCAACTTCTACTCCATTACGATATATCTATCCCGGTCCTCCCGCGCCGTCCTGGTGTTCGCCAACTTCTCTCTCATTCTGAGCGCCGGGGTAGCCCATCTCCTCCAGCAGGTGTTTTTTGGCCAGCTTCGAACAAGCGAGGTCGAACGAATGTATGATAGAATGTGGATATTCGTCACCGAGAGTCTGCTCGCCTTCACCATCTTCCGGGACGAGTTCGACATTGAGTTTGGGATCATGTTTGGGATCCTGCTTTTCTTGAAGAGCTTCCATTGGATATCTGGGGACCGCATTGAATGGGTGCGTAGTTTCTAACACATCTTGATTTTGAACTGATACTTGCCAACCAGATGGACCAACAGCCATATCCTGGCCCACCGCTCCTCTTCCATATTCGCATGACCTCGCTGTTTGTCCTGCTCTCATTTGCAGACTTGTTCATGCTCTTCCTTTCGTTAGAGGATACGCTAGAGAACGGGGTTGGTGCAACAGTTATGTTTGCGTGCGAATATGCGATCCTCCTCTACACTGTCTTCAACACGATGTCCAAGTACCTGCTTTCCTGTTATGACTTCCGCCGCGCCTCTACGCGTGGTGGTGACACAGCGCCGCCATGGGAGGCCAAGAGCATCTGGACATTCTATGTGGACCTCATCACCGACTTCTGCAAGCTCACGACCTATCTCTGCTTTTTCACCCTCATCCTTACGTTCTATGGCCTCCCATTGAATATCGTCCGGGACATCTACTTCACCGCACGCTCATTCGTCACCCGTCTCAAGGCATTGACGCGGTATCAGACTGCGACCCGGAATATGGACACGCGGTATCCCAATCCCACGGCGGACGAGCTTGCGAGCAGTGACCGAACCTGCATCATCTGCCGCGAGGAGATGGCTCTGCCCCAAGAAGGCGTCCCCCGCCCGGCCGGTCCCAACACCACACCGAAGAAGCTTCCTTGTGGCCACATTTTCCATTTCTACTGCCTCAGGAGTTGGCTCGAACGTCAGCAAAGTTGCCCGACATGTAGGAGAAGTGTGCTGGAGGTGGCACCGACGCCCGCAGCGAATGGAAATGCGGCGGCGAATGGACAGCAACAACAAGCAGCGGCGCGCCCACCCGGAGGTGTTCTTCCCCCCGCTGAACGACCTGGCGCGCCCCCACCGCCAGAGGCTCCCCGCAATGAAGCACATGCCGTTGAGCTTTTGCGCAGGCTTGTGGGCACGACGCCAGCGGCTGGGATTCGTCATCGAACGACAGCCCAGCAGCCCATCAATGTGAACATCCAGTACGACGTGCACCATCACGGTCCCCAGTACCAAGAGCGACGGACAGGTACACCTCGTTTGGAAGGCTTTGTTGGGCCTGACGGCGAGTGGCGAGACTGGGAGGTTCCGGAGGAGACGCTCGGGACGGACCCGCCAGAAGAAGAGAACGAGAACAGCGATCCAAGGGAGGCCGCGAGACGGGCTGCGCTCAAGCGGTTCGGTGGTCTGGGTGAGTCTGAAAAGGGCAAAGAAAAGGAGAGGGAAAGTACGCATCTGCCAGAGTTCATCCCACTTGGGGGCGGGCCGTCGGTGATGCAGCGTCCGTTGAGCGCGCTGCCACGCACAGCGACGCCTGAGCAGTTGGCGCGAATCGATACGTTGACGAGGGAAGCGATTGACGAGAGGATACGGGTGTTGGAGAATGTGGATAGTGCGGTGTGGAGATGCGTGGACGAGTTGATGAAGGTGAGGAGTGTGTTGCCGTCCCGGGCGTCCAGTGAGGCGCCGCCGTCACGGCCTAGCAGCGAAGCCCCTGTAGCGGAGGAAAGAGCAAGTACACCGGTGGCTGGGACAAGTGGTAGCTCGGAGGAGAATGCAGCATAATTATGGTAAGGGAATGTCTGTATTCCAGCAAATGACAATATACATCTGTGGTTATAATTGTATTGATGTCGTGAGATTCTCGTAGTCTGCACTGAACGATTACGAAGTGGGTGCATCTGTCGGCCGCAGCTGAGGCCTCAGAGTGAGGCATTCTGCTCCCAATGAGTCCTATAGGCTTTTGTCGCAAGTCACGTACTAATCGCCAACCCTCATGCATAACTGTCAAGTCTGGGAAGCAATAGCACAACCCAAAGCCTGGATATCCCTCGAAATTCTCAATGTGTCATTTATGTTTGACTGAATTTCTATGATTGTACGATTCGATAGCTTTTACACCCATTCAAATTCATCTTGTCCCACACCGCATGTTATGGGTGGACATATGTAGCTCTCGCTCAAGACACCCTGTGCGTCCTCCTCGGCGGACACCAGAAAGCGCAATAGACATTTCATTTGAATGCATTGCGATCATACACACTTCTGCTACTGGAGAGATGCTTGAGGTTGAGGGAGAATCGTTGCCTTTACTCGTGTTTGTAGATAATTGAATGAAGCATCGATGGGGGAGTGTAGAACAACGTCGGGATGAGTGGGGCCTACGGCTACAGTGGACAAAATGTACAAAATTATGAGACAAGCAGGGCTCGAACCTGCGACCTTCCGTGGCCTACAGAACGTGGTGTAAGACGGATGCGATGACCAACTACGCCATTGTCCCATGCACGTGGCAATTGCCTGACAAACCCGACTATAAACGAGTTCATTACTGGCCCAAGACCTGTGAAATTGTATGTACTGCACGGCGAATGAAAAAATGTAGCAAAGCGTAAGCTGGACAATGCTGTAAAAGTGGGTTCTAAAATTAATCAACTGTAGCGTACGCACAGTCTACCAGACTATGTATGTACCCCATCTCAACATCTCACCGCCCAAACCTTCCCATGAAGTTGTTCGCACCTTGCGTGAACTGATCCGCCCGGTGCTTCCCAGCCACGCCTCCAAGCACATTCCCTAGCCCGTTCACCATCGAGCCCATCAATGCACCCCTTCCTGCGTCTGAAAAAACATGGGTTTCACCCAAATCTGAAGACGGGAAACTCACTTTGCGGCGGGGGAGGGCCCTGATAGAAACCACCAGGTTGGGACTGCTGTGGATATGGCGCTGAAGGCCCGTTCTGTGAGTAGGGCGATGGCGTGGGAGGCCCATTTTGATAGTAGTCCTGCTGCTGCTGGGGTGGGGGAATACCAGGTCGCCCGTGTCCCGGACCTTGGGGGGGATATCCTCCAGAAGGGCCATACGGCTGCTCGTATCGACTGTGAGGCTGTTGCGGCGGCGGCGTGGGAGGTGGTATGTTGGCCGGGAATATTCCACCAATCTCGACACTGGGCTGAACGCCAGCAGGAAAAGAGGGTTGACGGTAAGGTGACGGTGGCTGGCGGAACCCAGGCGACACTTGAGGTGATCCAGGATGAGAGACAGGCGGACGGAAGGTTCCAGGACCACCTCCCAACGGCGGCGGTCTTGACGAGCTGCCAGGCGGCGGGCGTTGGTACGGTGGATAGTTCGTTTGAGGGGGTCCAGGGCGTGCGCCCCAGTCTGCTGGTGGCCACGGCTGATTGGGACTGGCCATAGGTGGACGAAAGTTAGAGGAGTGCGGCGACAATGCAGGGCTGGGACTCGTTGGGCTCGATATTGGATTTTGCATGTAATGTCCAGATGGCGTAGTAGGCGGGCGAGCCATAGACAGCGAGGGTGGATAGCCCCCTTGTCCGCCAGGGCCGTACGATGAACCCGAGCTAGCAGGACGGGGAGGTAAGGCTGCTGGCGGACGGCCTTGAGCAAGGTTCATCGCTGACGGACGCTTGTTCAACGACTGGGGATGCGCAGGGGGAGGCAACATATGGGCCGAGGGGGTCGGCGGAGGAGCAGCCATCGACGACGGTGGTCCGTAATACGCATTCGGATGTAGTGGCGGCGCAGGCTGGTAGGAAGGGCGAGAGACCAGCGGCGAGCCTTGTTCTTGAACCAAACCGCCGGGCTGACTATGGGAAGGTGTCGAGTGTGGTCGTCGCTGTTGATTCATTGCAGGGCGTGGGTCATGTAATGTCGGCGATAAAGGTTGTGTAGGCGTGCGAGAAGGGGATGTAGTAGCCTCAGGATGAGACTGAGGACCGGAGATTGTTGCGCGCGCAAAGTCATCTTCTACCCCTGCATATGCTAGGGTGGCCTCGGCCGGAGAGGGAGACCTCGGGATGGGAATTGTCGATGGTCCACCGGTGAAAAGGGACGGAACGCCTGACGGCAGTGCTGGTCTGCGCATGAGATCAGGCGATGGTGGTGTCTCCGTCACCGCGGGTGCCATAGCTGGGGTTGTGACCTGTGTCGCAGGAGACACGGAATTCGCATGTGCGCTCAAGCCCGACCCCGATGCTCGGGGCGGTGACACGCCAGACCCAGACGCTACGGGTTCTGCAGGTTCATCTTCAAGTGAATAAGGGGGAGGTGGTGGTTCATCTTTGGGAACTGTTTGGGTACGAGTCCACTCCTCGTATTCTGCGGCGGCCGCGGCAGCCGCCTCTAATGCATCTTGGGCTCCGTCGTCGTATCGCGGTCGCGAAGCCCAGTAATCCTCAAGTTCCTTGTACGGGAACGACTCGTGTATTCTGCGCTCACTGCGAAGACCTTCACCGGCAAAACCACAGATACGCATATACCAGTCTGGAGGTACCTCATATCCATCGGCATCAAGGGCAAGGAAGTCATACTTGTCGCAGCGAGGAAGATCAGAGGTTTTAGCCACACAAGGCATAAAGGCAGTCCCTTCATCATATCTGGAGTAGACGCGTGAGCAAGAGCTAAATAATGAGGAAGGGATCACACACTCATCCCACATAGCGCCGTACATGCTACGGACACCGAGACGCTTTGCATGGAATATTTGTTTCCACAAGAACCGTCCACCGTTGCGCTTCATGCCGTTGAACGTCCACTTGCCTTCTGAAAGATTATAGCCCTGAAAATCATGAGTAACACTCCGCATAAGAGGACGATGACTCACAGAGCCACCTGGAAGAACAACAGGCAAGTAATCAATCTTCTTCCCTCCGGTCTCAGACTGCCGACGCAACATGTCCACATCATCCTTCATTCTCGTTTCCGCAAAACGCTCAAAGTCCTCCTCGCACCCGTACCGGCCGATGGTCCATGGGGAGATAGCATCCACTTCGTTAAGCCAGACTTTGAGAAACCCTTCATCGCGGTCTGCGTCGTTGTCTGCTGTCCTCCATGATGCTGGCGTGCCCGCCATGATGTATAGTCCACCGGGAGTAAGGCGTCGGAGGGACTGAATAATATCGTGCAGAAGACGCGGTGTATGACGAGAATCTTCGAAACCGAAGCCCCAAAGCGCGAGGACTGGCATGCCTTTCTCCCTGAGGTAGTTTGGGCTGTCAAGGATGCCTTTTTGGCGAATGAGGTATATCCAATCCTGTTCAAGGACGCGTTGGATACGGTCGGGGGAAACACCAGAGACATCATACCTGGGGAAAAGATCATGAGTTGAGCCGCCCAGAACCGTTTACATATGAGGCAGGCGCACATCATCGCAAACACTCTTCCTTCTGCCTCTGCCGCCTTCATCACCAGATCCCCAACTTCATCGCGAATGCGTCGGATGCCAGAATTGTCGCCGCTCTCCATGTCACATTGTCCCGCAAACCGTTGCAGGAACGCACCGTCGACGCCATGCTCAGCCATCCAGTGGAAATGCCGCTGGACGGTCTTGGGATGCCGTGAAGAGAACAGAAAGGCTTGCTGCCCATCCTTGAATGAGAGTCCCGGCGCAGCGAACAGTTCAGATGGGGAGTATGAAGACACGTCAGGCCAGAGGTCCGTGTTGGGACGACCACCGTCTGGTATGGGATAGTTAAACCAGTGCAGCCATCCGTGATGTCCTGCATCGAGTTAGATCGTCCACGGTCCCAGCATGGTCCAAAGTTCAAGTACGCACCGGGACCGACGGGCTCTCCGTCGCCCGCACACGTAAACCTGCAGACAATATCACACACGACATTCGTTCGTTCCACTGGACGTGCTCACCAGCCCTGGTACCCTACCAAGAATTTCTCATGTATGGTCTTGGGATTCGCGCTGAGAGCTCCATGAAGGCCATCCACGGGGCAATTGGAGAGCATACCGTTTGAGTCTGCGGGGTGCCATGGGTAATGGTGGCAGGACACAAGCCGTTCGCGATCGCTTGTTGCGGCGCGTGTTTCGCATCGTCCCTGGGTTAGCGCGAAACAATATAAAGCTCCGTGGCCTGCGTACATCCCTATCGGACTATGCGTCTGCGACCACTACTACCTCCATTGTAAACAGCAGGCCTCACAAGAGCGACTCCCTCGCGTCTTCAAGCGGTTAAGTTGCGGTCCGCTGATCGATCACAGAGCGCTTCAAAGCTTTCAGCGCTTCAGCACCAGATTCAAATCGAATTCAGGTTTTGTCTTCGGGCAGCCTATCTTGATTTTGAAAAAGTAACAAGTATAGCAGAAATATGTAACTTGGACATTGACCAACAATGTGGCAAATTACCCATATACGAAGAATGAATGATTCAACTGATGTCGCGGACCCGCGGACAGTCACAAGCACCTGCACTACTATTGATTCTGCGCGACAAAGATGGAGGGAGCTTGGCAAAAATCCAACGAGTACCAAGAATGTTTCTCGAGAAACATGGACGGTCGAGGTGCAAGATGTAAACGGTAGACAGGGAGGCCATGTTCGACAAAAAGCCTTGGCTGACTCAACAGAGGAAGGTGTCTTGTCCAATCTTATTTGATGGGAATGCGAATAATCAGCCAGGACAGTAGACGCCACGGCTACGAGGGGGAAATGTGTGTTGGAGGGCATGCATTGACGACGCGATGAGATAAAATACATGAATACAGACAGCGCTTAATCGAACAGTCCGAAGCCCTGCAGGACGTGAGTGCACAAGCTAGAAGAATCGTGGGGTGACGCACCATGTCGTCGTCGGACTCCTCCTTCTCTTCCTCCTTCTTCTCCTCCTCTTTGGGTGCGTCAGCAGCAGCCGCGGCGCCGCCAGCTGCGGGTGCAGCAGCAGCAGCAGCTCCACCACCAGATCCAACGTTCGAGAGGAGATCCTTCACGTTCTTTCCCTCAAGTGCCTTCGCAAGGAGAGATGCCCATATCGGCTCGAGTTCAACGCCAGCCGCAGAGGTTATGGAGACGATTTTCTCGGACTGAGGGAAACGTCAAAATGGGCTCTTTTGTTAGATTGTCGATGCGTACGGTGATCTCCTGGTCATCATCGGCAAGGATGAGAGCGGCGTAGGTAGCGGAAAGGTCGGCGGAGGCCTAAGGAGATGCGATTAGAATCGCGCAAATCGCTACAAGTGCATCCAGATCCACTGATGCCATCCAGCTAAATGCGAGCGCGACTACCGGCAATATTGGCACAAAATGGCACCAGCGGATGCAGCGAATGTCGGGGAGGCGGACGTTCTCACCATTGGGACGGTGTTTTGGCGGGATGAAGTGCTGGTGTGGGAGGTCGGTAAAGTGCTTTTTTTGATTGCAATTGATCATGTGACGCCGGCGGCAACCTAGAGTGATCGCCGCTACACGGCCCACATGGGAACGCTTTCTCCACTTCGCTCAATGCACCAAGTGCAAACTTCGTGCTTAGCAGTGCT